ACCCCACCCCGCCCCATCATTCCTCATCGCTCCCTTTAGGAGAGTTTTGCTGATGAGTGGCGCGGGCGTGTGAGGGACCTGGCTGTTTTGCTTCACCAGTATGGGCGGGGCGCGCTCGTCAGAGAGCGCGTGGAAAACGTGAGCGAGAGCGCGCGCGCACGCGGATGCACTCACACGCGCGCGCACAGGCATTGGCACCTGCACGCATGCACACGCGGCGCACACATGCGCACGAGCTTTGCGCGCGCACACATGCACACACACATACACACACACACACACACTCACACATATACACACACACACATACACACACGCACCCACGCACACACACACACACACACACACGCACACGTGCGGCCAACACCCTTGGGTGCATGCCTGCGGCCTGGTGGGGCTGGCGTTGCGGCGAGCGGGCGCCGCTGTTTGTTGCGCCCTTGGTCGGCAACCGTGACAACTCATCAACCACACCCCCTCACCAGACCCACCAGATTCGCTCCTGCAGGGCCGCACACGACACCACCAACGAAATCCCGACTACCGGCCCCTCCCTCTCACCCCTCAAATCGCCATTCTCCAGGCCGTCTGCTGCCTCATATCCCGCATTTGCGGCACCATCCTCTTCCAGCCGGACGTGGCTGCGCAGCTGCTGGGCCGAGACTTGGAGACCGGCGCGCTGGGGGAGGCGGACCAGGCAATCTGGGACCGCGCGGCCGCGGCCATGGCGCTGAGCGAGGGCCAGGTGGGGCCGACAGCCGGGCCGCTGCGGGGCAACGACGCCGGCTGCGCCGCTTCACGCTGCCGGCAGGCGGTCCTGAAAATCGCCCCTTTCTGCCTGCACCCACTCTGCGGTCCCTTGGGCCTCGGCCGCACGCCCGCCTCATAGCCAAGATCCCGCTTCAGCTTGCGCCCCTTGACCTCGCCCCTCCCCCCGCCCTCCGCCCGTCCCCGTCCCAGGCCGCCACCATGGCTCCGCTGCACATCTACTGGCAGGCCACGTCAGCGGCTCTGGCAGAGGAGCGCCGCGCGCTGGCCGAGCGCGCGCTGGCGGCGCCGCACGACATAGAATTGCAGGAGGAGGTGGTGGCTGGGCTGGACAGGGTGCAGGAGACATGGAGGGTGCGTGCAGGGGTGGAGGGGGGGGGAGATTGGGTCAAAGTGGGGGCAGGGCTGGGCTGGGTGGGCGGGCTGTTGTCAGATGCGAGCGTGGCGCGTCCCCTTCAGCGGGGGTTGATGGGAACGGCCGGCGCAAGGAGTGCGTGTGCGGGGCGGGGGGCGGCCCGCGGCGGGGG